TATTAACGCCAAACCTTCGGCAGAATTTATAGAATATTGTAAATATATATATATATATATATATATATATATATATATATATATATATATATATATTGGATTATGACTGTCAGAAATGCAATTATTGATGAAAATCCCAGCATTCTAATCTTTTATTCTAATATTTAGGCTTAAAACTAAAATCAATTTTGACTTATATAAAATATATAAATAATACTTCAAAATTTTACCTGTCAACATTTAGTTTGGCTTTTAGTTTTTGGTTACTATAGTCACACAATATTTTCAACTGTATTTAAAATTATAACACTGATGATGGCAATTTTTTTGAAAACACTTTTGTTGTAATTAAACTATTTAATTTTATTAGTTTTTGTTTTGTTTAATATTTTTCATTTTAATATGTTATTTTTAAGTAACTAGCTCTAAAATGAATATCATTAAATATTTTGTTAATTTAATTATAAACTTAATAATAAATTACACTAAATTATTAAAAAAAGAGAAAAATTTATATTAGTAAATAGAATTTAATAATAATTGTATATCCTATATTGTTATAAACCATGACTCTCGTAAGGGTCCATTCAATAATTATGTCCCGCTTTTTATGCAATTTTTTAACCCTCCCAACTCCCTGTCACATCTTGTCACACTTAGCTATTCCCCCCAATAATTATGTAACACACGACCAACCCTTATTCACAACCTGTAATCTATTATTAATATATTATAGATAACATCGTGACTTAAGTACAAAGTTTAAATCAGAATAAAAATGTCTCGTTACGATCCAGTTCATGCTCATGGCTAATTCTACAGTTCGATCCACACTGTTGCCAGATGTTGCTTCGTTGTAAGCAATGAAATGTGTGTATCATTGCCAGCATTGTCTACATTCAATCCTGTACACAAGAAAAGAATGTGTATTATTTCCTGTTGCTTAATATTAAAATTGAACAGTAAACGCCAGAAACTTGAATATTTACTATTTAGTGATGGTCCATACACATATCTTAATTTGTACGAGACATTTTTATTCTGATTTAGAACTTTGTACTTAGGTCATGATGTTATCGATTATCTATTAATAATAGATTATAGGTTGTAGAATTGGGGGAGGGTTGGTCGGTTGTGACAATTATTGGGAAGGTCAGCTGAGGGTGACGGGATGTGACTGGGAGGGGAGAGGGGTTAAAAAATTGTATACAAAGCGTGACACAATTATTAAATGGTAGCAGCATTGCTCTGCCTAAATATCGACCATTACTAGACTTGAAACGTTGGAACGTATCGGAACTTCGACAGCAAGTTAACTCCTCCCTCTCCTCCCGTCACACACAGTCACGTTAGACCCTCCGTCGCTCCCCCTAGCGTGTCATAATTTTTGAATGGACCTATGCTGGGTGTTTTAAATCAAGTCATATTCAATAAAGTTATTAAACAATTGTTTCAATGTATTGCGTCATGTGTAAACTAAATAAATAAATAAAGATGTTATCAATTACACGCAATTACGCCATGTCGTTTTTTTGTTAATAAAAACTTAAAAAATATCAAACGTAAGTGTTATTTGAGATAAAATAAAAACAATGAAACAATTTAATCTTTTTAATTAAAACAAACTGAGACGGCAATTGGAATTCTTCCTACCATTAAATTTAGAAACAGAGGAATCATCGATAATGAAAACACGTAAAAGTGTTATATTTAACGAAGTTGAAGATTGTAAAACTAATTAAATGAGCGTTAAGTATTCACTTTAAACAAACAAGGAATCAACAAAGTAGAGGCACAGTATATATATATTTGAGCATCTGGGCACATACGCAACATATCAATTTGTTCTATCATGCATAAAATGAACAAAAATTTTGGTTTTGAACTAAAGAAACTTGAAAATGATTAACGATCATCCTTTAGATAAAGTGAAAGGTTAAATTGGAAGTTAACTAACGCCGAACATATCAAAGAAATGTTATTTAAAAAAGAACCAGCCAACCAACCAACCAACCAATTAACCAACCAACCAACCAATCATTCAATCAATCAAATCAAATTTATTATAACTATAATCAATGATCGATTGACAACATTCAATATTTTCATTATTACATAAACCATCAGTCAATCAATAAATCAATCAATCGGTCGGTCGGTCTTCAAGTCACCCTCAAGCCAATGACCTGTTGATTTCTTGTTTTAGGAAGTTTTCACGATGATTCTTGTTTGTATTTTTTTAGTAATCTGGATTTTGTGTTTATATTTATTTATTTATTTATTAAATTACCGACTTAAGGGTTTGTGTTCATCAAACAATCAATCAATCATCCAATCAACCAATTAATCAATCAAATCAAACTAATTTTAACCATAATCATTAATTGATTGATAACATTCACTCCTTTCATTAAGACATAAACCATCAACAGACCACTTACCCACTTATATATATATATATATATATATATATATATATATTGGAACGAGGTTTTCTTTGATGCAAATATCGTTAAATATTTTTGCCAATTTTCATTAATTAATTTTTTAATAAGGATTTCGGCAACACGAAGCTGTTTTATTTCATATCTATTATCATTATGTGTCATCCTAGGCTTACAACGTTGTTTTGACATACAGTCATCATCAGAGCCTGGTTTTACGAAATATCAAAAATTGAATTATAATTTAAACATTAAAATCAAGAAATTTAATGAAAAGTACAAGAAATGAAATTATGACGTTGTAATTAGAAAATTAGAAATATGAAAATGTAAAATATGAGAAAATGTTACATTGTAATAATAAAATATTGTAATAAAACAATAAACGGTTTGTTTACACAATACACATAGTATTGAACGAATTCTACCGAATCGTTGGCATAAATCAATTTAAAGTTTGTCTTTTAAATTTTCCTTACTTAGAATTTTCTGGAAATTATTCAATTTGTTGAAAATAAAATTATCCAAGTTCATCATTAAAATTTAATTAAACAGTTGTTTCGTCATGCAGATAAGGGCTTATTTTAATTTTTCCTTATGTGACCTATTGCAATAATGTTTGGTCGGACTGCCTACCTATCTATTAGTCATGCAGTCAAAATCTTAATGAAAAGAGCCGTCAAAATCGATACTTGCTCTCATCGGATACAACACTTTGAGCCATTATTCAAATTAAAAATTTCAACTTTGAAAAGTTAACTATGTATTTGGCTGCAGTTTTTGTACAAGAACGTTGCGGCAATATTTAATGATTATATTTAATAATACGACAATATTTAATTACATCATGGATACTAGCAAACGACAACCACCAATAATCATTGGATATAAGACGATGACCAATATCCTGTTTCCACATATTAAATACAGAGGTCCAAGAGTTTGGAACTATATTATCAAAAGTGGTTTTTACTACAACTCAAATAATTAAACAATTTCAAGCAAAAACTGAAATTTTGATTTAAATTATATATATATGTATACATATATTTGTGAAATTGTGACAATTGCGATGATAATGATTGCGTCTTTGACGCCTGCCGCCTGTATATATCTATATATTTTAATAGACATTCTATGTATGTATATCTTGTTATTTGATATTCTATATATGCGATATATGCGACGCTGCTATGTGCTGTTTTGTATATAGGGAGTATAGCAATATATGGGACGCGTGCTACGTGCTGTTCTGAGTATAGAAAAGAGTATAAAAGGGAGTATAGAATTTTCTATGATATAGAAAGCATTATGTAGATAGGGTGGTAAAAACATATAAAAGGACGCGAGTTGAGATATAGATGGTCGGTCTTTTTTTTTTTATTATTTATTTCAGGTTTTGTTTTTAGCTTGGCTTCGTTCTGGTA